AGTTAGAAAGAGAATTGAAACACCTAGAAAGGGCATTTGGTTGGAATGGATACAGCAAGAACGAGTTTAATACAACAATTCGATCAAGAAACAGTGGAGGTCGTCCGGGGAAAACAGATACGCATGATGAGCGTAAGGGTTGGGCTTGCCTCCCATACATATATGGAGTCACCGACAGGATCGGCAGGATACTGGAGAAAGACAAAGTCAAAACAGTTTTTAAACCAACTCGAACAGTCCAACAGACTTTGAGATCGACCAAGGACAAACGAGATCCTTTATCAGCACCAGGAGTCTACAGAGTTCCATGCAGTTGTGGCAGAGCATACATCGGCACCACAAAACGTAGTGTAAAAACTAAGATCAATGAGCATAAAAGAAGTTGCAGATTAGGACAAACAGAAAAATCAGCAATAGCACGCAGTTCTAGACGGCCAGCAAATACGTTTGATGAAGTGCACATTTTACACCAATCTCAACGGTATTACCCTAGGCTAACCAGAGAGGACATTGAGATCTTTAAACATGACAACAATTTTAATAGGAAAGAAAAGGTAACGGCCCTTAATCCAGATTGGAAACGCGTTTTGCGGCAAACAGCGCATGCGCCAAAACAATTGAAGCCCCGCCCACTCTTCACGTATGAGTTCACACGGCCGGGCAGCATAATTACGACAGGGGATCCAGTAGTTTAACCAGTCTTAGTCGGAAAGCCCACTGCCTCATCGCCTTTGATAATGTCCACCGCAGCTGTGGACGTAACGTCAGGAAGACATTCTCATGAACCACGGCTTCAAAGCCCGAAAAACATTTCTTAATGAGAAATAAGAATGATAGACACAAATAATTACACTTTAGTAGACGCATTAGAAGGGAAATAAAAGAGGCTGGTTTTCTGAAGAATGTAACGAAATCGAGAGTGTGGATGCGAAATAGGACAATTTCAATCTGCATAAGAAACTCCGGCAAATCTCCACCTCATCGTCCAACAGCTTTAAATGCGCAGGCGTAAGATGCTCAAACGATCAACTTTGCCACCGAAATTGCCTCCAACAAACGGCGACTGGCCGGAGCATCGAAAGTGATTGTTTATGCATACTGGTCTAAGACCCATCCCCGCTTTTTCTTCCAGCTGGCGGCTACAGAAATATTTTTTTTTACTCTTTAGTTTGCCAGCTGAAATCCCGATGGTTCTTCTGATCAGTTCTGCCGGTCTTGAGCCAGTTGTCTCAAGCTTAGTTGTAATTATCCCTCGCAGTCTCAGTCTTCTATCTCTTAGCACGTAATATGCCGTGATAATTAGACAGTAACTAACTCGAATATAGCTATCAACAATCATTATGTACTTGTACTTGTATATCATAATAATTTCTCATTAATTAATAATGCTCTATAGTTCATCTCACGGTCAGCGCATGCTTCAGTGAAAATGCGATTTGAATACTACCACTTACATAGCATTTTAGAATAGTAAGAGAATCGACCTAGGTCAAAATTATTTTCAGATACAAATACAAGATATAAAGCTTTTTAATAAAAGTAAACGACTATACTAATTGACATTTAATCTACATTTAGTAAGCTAGAGATTTTTTTTCAGGAACAGGTGAATTCCAATTTGAAAACCAACGACGAGCACCCTGCTCTTTACTATGCTTACTTAAAACTAGATGTGGGAGTGTCTCACTATGCAGAGTCCTTACTCAGGCATGGAGTTCAAACAGATTCTTTATATTCATCGCAAGGTTGCGCAGACTTACTACAGATCTTGATTAAACAAGGCTTAAGAGACGCCGCTGTTCATCTCGCTGGCCACGCGAGAAATTTGAATCATGTAAATGTGGAAGGAGAGACAGCCCTCCATTTAGCTTGCCAAAGAGGTTATAATGAACTCGTCTCAAAATTGGTAAGTACTGTGTTCCGTTGCTAATCCAAATACTGTTAATTCATTATTTTATTGAATTTGCGTTCTTTGTAATCGAATCGGCAGCTTCGATTTAGCATGGAAATAGTACAGTACTGCGATTAACACGCTGACGGGCACTTGCCTCTATAGCCGTCAAAGCGAAGTTCACTATGTGGCATGACGGCCCTGGCCGTCCAACACGAAACGGTAGTTTATACTGGCGACTAAACGTAGAAATACGATCCCTTTATTGCGCATGCGCGGACTCTAAGCTATCAGCTGTTTATAGTTTTATGTTTATCGGTTAGGATTTTCTTTAATTCGTGAGTAAAGACTACAGCGTGTTCGAAATTCTTTTATACGTTACTTCAGAAAAATGAATATGGTTTGTTCTGCCGCAATTAAGTTTTTGCACATCAAAGCAAATATATCCGCAATCGCCGTCAGGCTCACAGCTTCGACGATAAAGTGGTTATTGAATATGCATATGATATACCTATCATTGTTTACATGCACTTCGAAAAATTAAGATTTTTGACACCATTTAAAGGTTTGGGTTCGCTTGTGCGATTGATGCATGCGTCTGACGCAAACAGCGGCTGCAGGGTCCATCACATGCGTCGTAGGTGGATTCGCTTGTGCGTCTAAAAGTTGAGAAAAGTCGGCAGCCCGAGCACAGTGCAAAGGGAAATTTGAGTAGTTGATTAATTAGTATCATGGAGCTTTTATTGGAAAAAGAAGATAATGAAACCATGATTCCGTTATTAATTACGAACAGAAAACCTCATCATTCGACAGGGTGATTCAAAATTGGCGTCATTTCTGTTGAGGTGTTGTCTGGCGCTGTTATAGGAGTACAGAAAAAATAGTAAAATAAATTAATTGTTATTAAAAACTGAGAAATTTGCAAAAAACTATATCAGAAATACGGCAGCAATGTTTTTCAAGGTAATCTGCATAATTAACATTGCGCAAATAAATGTTGCTTCGTAATTATTTAAAACTCCGGTAACCATGGAATTATACCGAGTGACAATAAGATAGACAAGGATAAACAGTAAATTCAACAGGAGCCGTTAAATGACGGAACCTGTTTCGAAATGTCAACCTGTCCTCATAACCTCGAATTGGGTAACCAAAAAAGCTAGTGCCTGTGTAATATGCCTGTGTGATATCCTTATTGTCCACTCTTCTCAAGCAGCTTCTCGTATTCGGTTAATTAACTCCTGCTCCATTTGTATCACCTTGTACTGTGTGTATCGTACAAACGTGGTAGGAATGTAGCCCTTCCTCGGTGTTTATTTGGTGCTTGGGAACGTGTCGGTTATTGTGCTCTGAGTACCCCTGGAAGGCCCTGATTCGATTATGTACAATACTTGTTCCTCTGTGCCTGGAACCCGAACATCGATTGCTGTCCACTATCTTCCTGGAACCACTCTCCTCACCCTTTGTTGGCGTGAGTTCTTTCATCTTCTGATATGTTATTGTAGCATTTCCCCTGAACTAATCGCATATTCGCAAATTCGTGAAGTTCGTTCATGAATATCAAAGTAAGTCACAGTTTGACAAATTATTGTTATTATTGACAAGGGCTATCCACCTGTAACTACCTGTTAATGACAAAAACCATCATTGCCACTTTGACTTTTCATCAACAAATTGAAGAAGAGAACTTTTTTGATATCGAAAATTTTTGTAATTTGAAGCAAATATCGTAATTTTTCTTTTTGAATGCTTAAGTATTCCAATATGCTACCAATTACACATGGAACAATTTCAAAATAATGCTTAATGACAAAGTTGAAATTCGATATTCAACTGTTAATATCTTCTAGAAATTTGCGAAAAAAACATTTTTCAATATTTTCCTCGTACTACCCAAGGGAGCCTCTATCACTCCTTAAAAGGAATGACGCCAATTTTGAATCACCCTGTATGCGCAAACATTGACATATAGATGATACTAAATTCCACGCTTATTTTCGCTTAAGTAGAAATCAATTTGATATATGTCGACGGCAAATAAGTAGAAAAAAAGGTCTCGATAGCAGTGCCTGCGTTTCGACGTTACGTTTCACTTCAGACGCTAGACGTCGACGCGCTAGTAAACTCATAAACATGTTATGCCATATAATCAGTCTCTGTGATGGACGCTGCTTGTGTCAGACGCATGCAGCAATCGCACAAGCGAACCCAGGCCTTAACACAGAAACATGTACTACAGTCAATGGTTGTACTAAAGATCCTATGAAATCTAGTCTTTTTGATCAAACGAAATTCGGGCACAAGTCATCAGTATAGTAACATTTATCAATAATATGAAAGTACTAAGAACTCGCATGTTTAATAGGAACTTTGGGAGTTGATGTTGCCTTTGCACGCCATATGCTGGGAAGACCGAATTGCAGAAGAAACAGGCACCAATTTTGGATAGGCCTAATGTCTATATATAATAATAGATTTCAAATACCGAGAATTTTAAATATGAAACCTAAACATCAACAGCATATATTAAGAGTAAGATATATAGCGCCCACTCCACTGTTAATCATCCAGCTGATCAGCAGCTAAAATCTGCAGTTAACGCATGCGCATTAATGGGATCGTATTCCTACATTTAGCGTATTTAGTGTATTTACAGACGCTCAAATTGGTGGATACGAAAAAAAAAACGTTGCATGTCTAAACTTGCATTGTGTCCTGCATCATGCTTTGAAGCATGGCATGCCGAAAATAGTGTGTAATAATTATGAAATTATAATAACATTTTATGCCGTTTATTTATTTTTGTTTGACTATGAACTAGAATGTCGAGTAAAACTTCCAAAAATACTTTGTTGCGCACAAAAATTGCTAATTTCAGTCATTAAGCCTGTCATTTACGTTTCTAAATGTTTGCTGTTATAGCCGCCATCGACCCATTACTTAGTCCGCTGGCTCCATGAGGGTTAGAGCGGCAACTTAATTAAAGGTGCTGAATTAGTCAAAATTAAGTTTATTTAAGCGGAAATACTAAAACTATACTTCTAATATTCTGAAAATTACAAAAACAGTAATACCACAAGTAGTAGTCCGGGGAGCCAAATCTGGAAAATAGGAGGGATGTGGTCGAGTTGGAACCCTACTTTCATCAATTTTCGGCTACAACTGCTGAGGTGTCATCATGATGAAGGCGGCTTTTTTCTTGGTCAATCGGGGACTTTTGTCTTGCAGCTCGGTTTGCAAACGGTTTCATAACGATGAATAGAATGCACCTGAAATAGTTTCACCCTTTTCCATATAATCAATAAAAAATACTTTTTGCGAATTCCAAAAGTCAGTTGCCGTAACCTTCTCTACTGAAGAAACTGTGTTCGCCTTTTTTGGATCAGATTCCCCCTTGCCAGCCCACTATTTGGACTGTTCTTTTGTCTCAGAAGTGTAGTGGTGTATTCATGTTTTATCCACAGTCACAAAACGTGGCTTAAAGTCTTACCCATCTTGCGGATAAACTTTTCATTGTTGATGCAAAATATTATGCACCCGTTCATTCGAGACGCCGACAGCACAGCAATTTCACCCACCTTCACTCTTTTGTCATCCATAACAATTAAACCAGTTATAAACTGGTCTAATTGAAGGTGCAGAGTTACCGTAATGTTTGTCCAGCTTCTCTTTAGTCTCTTGAGGTGATTTTCCTTTAATAAAGTAATGTTTAATCGGTACGTCAAATTTTTTCTTGTCCATGTTTTTTAAATCTCGCGATTTTTTTCGTTTCAAACGAACGCAAAACAAGGAAATCTGGCTGAAAGATGCGTTCTTCCAAGAGATGCTACTAACTGAAAATAACTGCTATAGGCACCAGTGGTGCCCTCTCTCTGACTTGCAAGAGCACAGTCAGAATCAGTGTGGTSCTACCCTTGTTAACATGTGTTTTATCACGTGTCGGTTGATTAGTTGGATAACTATATTATTTACTTATTATTCAGTCACTGGACGACCGAATAAACCATTTCATTTATTTGCTTTGGTATTACTAATAGACTCAATGTAAAAGCAAAAAATATTTATAAATAGATTTATGCAATATTCGTTGATGAGCAAACATTTTAACTTTTCAGATTAGCTTAGGAGCAAACCCAAACTTATTAACTAACGAATTTCGACAATCGGCTTTACATTATGCTGCCCAAAGCAATGCAACTGAGTGTATTGAGGCGTTTATCAGACACAATATTTCACTCGAGCAAAGCGATAATCCTGATGAACAAAAGTGCGTATTATGCAAGTTTATTAATTGAAAAATAAATTTGCTTTCTGTCAACCATTACATTAATATTACAATCCACGATACTCAAGATTTTATATAGTTTTATTACAACGATCACTATTTGGTCATCCATGCAATTATCAGCAAAGCAACTGATTGAGTCGAACATTGCTAGTTTACAAATATTTTGGTTTTGCAGAATACTCGCCAATTTCAACTTACGTGACATCAACAGTGATACCCCAATCAGTTTGGCTCTAAACCTAAGATTTAAAGACCTGGTTCCATTATTAATTAGTGGAAAAGCGGATATTAACATGCGAAATGGAAAAGACTTAACTCTTTTGCATCAAGCTATAATTAAAGAAGACGCGAACACAGCAGTATACCTCCTGGATCAAGGAGTAGATATTAACGCTCTTACTTCAGAGAATGAAACGCCTTTACAACTAGCCATACATTGTAGGTAAGTTTTTTGTCAATTAGTTTTCGCGATTATACTTACTCTTTGCGCTTCTGCTGCTAAAGACTGCCTGAGGTAGTAGACGCACTATGTGTAAAAGGAGTGGATATGTCAGCACCGGATAGGCTTGGAAACTGCGCTTTGTGGGCAGCTTTGGATTCTGGTGAGTGAACAAATAATTTGGTTTTAATATTATTAACTTTATAAAATAACGTAAACTATGGTTTATAGTAGACTGAAGGACAAGAGTTTGAGCCAAATAAGATTAGCTTTAACTAAAAACTTTCGCTTATCAAGAAATAGAGAATGTGTGTTTCTTAAGTAGATAGAGCCAAATCGACTTATTGAGAACTTATGGAGTCAATTTTTGAGTAATGTTTGATTGTGCGCAAGTCGTGGTCGCTATATTCACACGTGCGACTAAGATGCACAGCTATTTCAATTCCTGATCACTTTGTAAATTGCCTTTAACTTTTTATTTATTTTATCTTCAGGTCGTTTTTCATGAGCAATCTTGTCGCAAGCACTCAATTTCGTTAGATGTTCCCGTTTTTAATAAATGAAACGAAAACATTTTTTAAATAGAGGTCATAGTTGGCTAAACAGCTAAAAATTTACTTGTCTAATTATTTTGGATTGATATACAGGGTGACAAAAAATTGGCAGCATTCCTCTGGAGATGTTGTCTGGAAGTTTTTAGGAAGTACGGTCGACGAAACATAAAAGTAAATTTGACTCTACCTCGGTCTACCTTTGCGTAAACAACATAACACTGACAAATAAATTTTCCTATTCACGAGTTCAACTGCCGATTGGGGCGCTGCGAAACGTCAAATTACTCGTTGCCAAATGACAGTTGAGACTTGTCTATCTGTTGTAACAAAAATGAATGTGAAT